ATGGCAGGGCCTGCAGAAAGGGCGGGGGTGGAGGTCCCTGCTCCGTGGGGCTGGAGCCTTGCTCCGGGGGTGGCTGCAGGGACTGCCGACGAGAAGGTCTGAGCACCCCTTGGGGCCTGCTCCTCATGCCTGCCGCAGGGCTTGGGGCAGTGAGCTGTACGAGCAGGCCACAGCCCGAGGTGCGAGTGCCCACACGGTGCTCTGCGCACGGAGGCCGGGCAACCCTGGTGAGTCCAGCAAGAGCCAGGAGGCACAGAGCTGGTGGCAGAGCACGTCTGCACACCCTGTGAGTCCAGGGCCGACATTGCCTGGCCCTGTGGCGTTCACACCACAGCTGCCTGGGGCTGCATGCAGGGACGTGGGGAAGCTGTGGGCGCAGGAAACCTTGGACGGTCGGGAGCGTGGGGGGCAGCGGTGTGGGAGAGGCTCAGGGGACTATGACCACATGTTCTTGCTTGGTCATGGGAGTGGGCTGCGAGGTGGTGCTGGGCCATGCGACAGGAGCCGTGTCCATGCTGCGCCAAGTGCCGAGTGCAGCCTGCTGTCCAGCTGGCATGGTCACAGACAGCCGCTTGGCTCCCACTGCTGCTGAGCTGCAGGTCTCGGCTTCCTGTGCTTGTTCTCTCAGACACTCATTCCCACAGTAGGAGCTCTCCTAATTAGGATCATAAAAGTGGTATTATGATACTTGCAGATCTCGGGGCTGTGGAAGGTTCAAGCAGTTTTTGCAAAGGACCTGTGGAAATGGTTCCTCGGACACCACGGAGCTTGTGCCCCTGCCCACAAGCCCAAAGGCAGTGCTGGAGGGGGTGTTTCAGAGGTGGCTGGTGAGGCAGAGGGTGCTGTGACCCCATCTGCCCCACACCAGTTTGGCTCAGCTAGACTAGTCCTTGTCCCAGCCCTGGTCACATGTGCAGACATGATGCATAACGTGGCTCCAGCAGTTCCCAGTTGCTTTCCTGCTTCTGCAGAGTGGAGTCCAAGCCAAGTAGAGACAGACAATGGGAAAACCACCTGCCTGGCCCAGGCTGCCATGTCTCCCACGCCAGAGCCACGCTGTGGCGATCCAGAGCAGCAGCTGCTAGGGAGAGAGAGGCCCACAGGGTCTCTCTTGCCTCAGTATCAGCAAGAAGCATCACTAAAGAAGTGGGCTGACGCTTAGATTGTTACAGGGTAGGTGAAGGTCCTTTCCTAGGAAAGACCAGGGCTGTAGCAGTCGTGCTCTTCTCCTTCCTGCCTTTAGCCGTGCTGCGCAGGCAGTGCTTTTCCAGCTGTGCCACGTGTGCGGCTGAGAGGTGGAGATGCCACGTGCCTGCTGCAGACCCTTGGCCCTGCTCGCTTTGGGTGAAGGGAGACAGCCAGGAGATGCAGTGGGGCTTAACCAGCATCTTTCCTGTTCACAGAACACCACTCAGCTGCTCATCGACACTGGGGCCTCAGCCTGCATTCCTCAGGCTCACCCTCAGGGTAATTCCTCTGCCACCTTGAGGCTAGTTCTCGTGTCTTCTAGAAACCTGCTGCTCCATCCCCATTCCTCGCAGGATGCCAGCACTCCTCTGTGGGTGCTGCCATAGCATGAGTGTCTGTGCGAAGCCCTAGTGCACTTCAGGTCCCTGAAATTGGAAGCACATGTCGAGTTTCCATGCATGCGGTGCGGTGTGGTTTGCAGCAGCTGGAGCTGGTTGCCTGCCCCAGG